CGATTTATGTTTTTGTTCATGTTTTTCAATGGTTAATCTGCATACACAACACTCCGCGAACGTACAAACCTCGCATACAGGATAAACAAACACCACCAGATATATGTTCGTAGTGACGGAATTAAGTGATTTGTTTACAACAATCTTTCGTATGCAAAAATCTTGTTACCATTTTGTGAAACGATTTACTGCAAGTTTGTCGAAATGTTTCCGTTTGTCGGTATATCATCCATTGCAAAAACAACTACAGCAGCAGTCAGCAGTCGTATAAGTTTGTAGTCTGTAGTGGTATTCGATTGATTAAGTGCCGATACAAATGTGTTGTTTCAACAATAACAACATGTTGCATTGTTGTAATTGTAGAGATGTAGTGCAAATGTGATATATATGTATTTGTTGTTCGCCTTTTGCAAATTGATAAATTTATTTTGTTAAATATTTTGAATAATTGTTTGCAAGTGTTCAGATTTATTGATACCATATAACACACAGGACTGAATTATGGTACATGTTATAAAAGTTTTAAGGACTATTATTGTATTTCTATATCCATTATATAGAAATGAAATGAAAATGAAAATCCACCTAATTAAAAATTAAATTAAAAAATTAATTAAACCCTGATTTAAATTTTGTTTTTTTTTTTACCGAATCTCAATACCAATGCTACATACTTTGATTTTTGATGGATTTTTGCAGAATGTTTTATCAATGTGATGTGTGTGTGGGTGGGAAATTTAATTATTGCCATATTTAAACTAAGGAAAGGGATCTAGTGTCAGTTTTTGGGAATTCATCAATTCGATTGGAATCTGGAGAAGGTAAAACAAAAACGAACGGAATGGAATGGAAATACGAAATTGAAACCATTCCTATCGAAATCTGTGACATGCCTGCATATTCTTGATTGGGTTAAGATCAGAGGATTGGACAGACTAAGGAAGAACTTCAACCGAATTTGTAGAAGAAACCAGTTATTTATCACTTTTAAACGTGGTATAACGTAGCTTAAAGGTATGTTCAAAGCATACTTACTTAAGCCGAGCTTAAAAAAGATTTCCAAACGAGTCGATATTGTGCACATCTCATTCAATTTAAAAGACAATGTTCCGAAATGTTGTCTTCTACTTCATCGTTCCATCGGATTGATCTTTCCATCGGATTCGCTTTTATATGCCTTTTGCCATTCTCACAACATGAGAATGGCCATCGTAGTCGCTGTAGCTCGATCCGTCTCACTATGTTGATGTCCGAGAATAGATGGTTCATTCGACGGCGATATTCACCGTCGACGCAGATCGGCCCATAGATCTTCCGGAGAATTTTTCTCTCAAACACTCCAAGATTTGACTCATCTGATTGCGCAATACCCATGCTTCATTATTAGTAGTATCAGCGGCCTTGTCCCTTAATTGATTACTCAGACCATAGTTGCATCTGTTGGCCTTCGTTTCGTTCACTACCTCGAAGCTGGTTGTTACCGCTCTCACTGTACGACTTATTATGTCGATGTCATCGGCGTAGGCTAGTAACATGTGTTGTTTGGTGTACAGAGTTCCATTTCTTTTCACCTTTGCGTCTCGAATGAACTTTTCCAGCACGATGTTAAAAAGGTCACATGACAAACTGTTACCTTGTTATTAAAGGGCTTCGAGAGGTCCTTTCCGACTTTATATACTGACCTTCTACCAGTTAAAGTTATTAATTTCGCAGTAGTGCCGAACGCAGACGGATAGAGCTGTAGTATGCAGTTTTATAGTCGACGAATAGGTGAAATGTGTCAATGTGTTTTTCGTAGAACTTTTTCAGATTTTGGAGCAGAGTTAAAATCTGGTCAATGGTGTATTTGACATGTCTGAAGCCGCATTGGTATGGTCCAATAATGTAATTGAACATTGTCTTCAGTCGTTCACACAGCTCGCTGTATAGCACTTTATACGCGATGGGAAGATAACTATTCCTCTATAGTTGGCATATATAATCTTGTCTCCTATTTTGTGCACGGGGCACAGGATGCTGAGGTTCCAATCATTGGGCATGCATTCCTCTATCCAAGTTGTACTAATCAGCTGGTGTACACTCCTTACCAGCATCTAACTACCAGAGTCTTGAATAGTTCAGCCGACTAATTGCTACTCTGACCTCATCTTGGCTAGGTGGTATACTCAATACCGTCATATCTATTTGATACCATAAGCATTTCAAAATGCTCCTTCAGGATCCTCAACACGCTAACTGTATCTGACACCAGGTTTCCATCTTTATCTCTACAGGAGGATGTGCCTGCACCCAAAGCCTTCGGTTTGGCGTTTTACTCGTTGGAAAAATTTCCGGACTTCATTCTGACTCTTGTGCATCTCGATTTGCTCCCGCTCACGTTTTTCTTGTTCTTCCTTCTTTTTTTTTGAAAAATCGTTTCTCCTCCCTACTTTTATCCCGATAATTCTCCATCGTATTACGTGTTCCTACTGTCTGAAGGGTTGCCCTAACGCTGTGTTTTTTCACATCAGTAGAATTACGAAACTCTTGATCGTACCATGAGTTTCCTGATGGTGGTTTTTGGTAACCAAGTGTTGCTTTTTCTGCAGCTGGTGGGAGTGGGCAATTCTTTGCCATCGTGCTTATACAGTATTATCGGGACAAGGTGTGTTTTCGTCAAACAGGTGGGTAAGTTGAGCGGAGTAGGCTTCTGCTATATGTTGTGTTTTGTGATTACAGATTTTCGACGTCGAGTTTCCGTGTTAAATTAGATCGCGCCTCTGTTGCTACATTAAGACGGATGCGAACCTTGGCTGCCACAAGTTAATGGTCCGAATCGCTATTCGCTCCTCGTATCGATCGAACGTCTAAACCACTCTATGAATACCTTCCGTCTATCACACACGATCAATTTGATTTCTCGTTTCTTGATCAAGAGAAATCCAGGTGGCCTTGTGTATAGCGAGAAGCTTGAATCTGGTGCTGCTAACTACCATGTTTTTTGATGCAGCGAAGTCAATCAACTTCATGTCGTTGTCGGATGTTTCTTCTTGGAGGCTGAATTTTCCGACGGTGGGGCCAAAGATATTTTCCCTCCGATTTTTGCATTAAAATCTCCTAGCAGAATTTTAATGTCATGGCCAGGACAACGGTCATATGCTGTTTCTAAGCGCTCGAAAAGAACTTAGCTTTTATACGGATTATAACAATTCGCTCATCTACTAGAGTGAATCTGGAGATGTGGACTTTTATTCTCCTGTTAACCATAAATACGCAGCCAATTTTACGTCTCGTTTCATGGCATCTATAGTACAGGGCGTAAACATCTGATTTATTTACACCTGTCCCTTTCCATCGCATTTTCTGTAAAGCAATAACATCGACTTTGTACTTCATGAGTGCATCCGCCAAAGCGAAGACTGCGCCTGTTCTGTACAACGTGCGCACATTCCAAGTGCAGATTCACTGATCATGGTCCTTTATAAGTTTGGGGGTTTGGTTTTCTTTTTCGTCGCTTTTTCATAGTATGTGGTGCTTTCCGAGTGTGGGCAACTAACCCGAAACCTCAAAGCTCCATATTAAATATTGCGAGTGTATCGTGATTTCAACAGACAAACGTATACGACTAAATCGACATATACTTATTCGTCAATATTGCGAGGTGTTGGAAATGGAATGAACTTATAGTGCGGAGTAAGTATAAATGTTTGTTACAAATCCACGCTTCTTCATGGCACGGTTCTCATTTTGTGGACCTTCAAAAACTATACGTTGATATATACGTTTCCATCTCTAAGGTCCTATATAAATTCTGATTAAAAGGTGAAATTCTGATCCCTTGCAATATGTTCATTTAATTTTTTATTCCGCATACCTTACAAAGATATATATAACAACCTTCAGCATTTCTAAGATAGCCTTATAAAATATATTTTGTTTTTTCAAAATAGTCAGGCTTAATCCCAGTTTGTTGTTTTTATAAAAAAACAACTATTTATTAGTGGGGAATGTATGGCATTGTCCGCCGAGGGGTAAGGCAGGAAGACCACTGGGATTAAGCCTGACTATTTTGCGAAAACAAAATACAAATGGTATCCCAAATAACCCGCCAACACTACTGAAATTATAAAATATATTTAAAAAATTCTATTCTAGCTTCGTTTCCATATCCTTATGACTGAGTTATTTTGTTCCTACAATTTATAAAAATAAAGAAAAAACCGAAAATGTGAGTTTTTCTATTTTTTGAGAAATGAAAATACCTAAAAAAGTGGTTCCCCAGAGGTAACGTTAAGAAATAAATTGAAGCTCACATAATAAGCTACCCAACATATATAGTGGTTAGAATATCAAAAAAAAAAAAAAAAACATTTTCCTCAATAATAAGTATCTCGTGGTTTAGGTATCACACTTTTGATCCTGATATTATATGCATTCATCTTAATTATTGTTCCTTCGGAATGAGGAAGTATTGCATTTGAATGTATAGCTACTAGCGCCATCTATTGGTAGTTTGTTAAACTAAAAATCTCTTTGAATTTTATTTTTAATCCCAAATTTCCCCAGAAATAAAAAGATGTTAAAATTTCATTAATAAATATTTTTGCATTTATATTTTGTTTTGCGTTTGTTTGCTATTATTGTCTAAAAAAGTTTAGTGTCTTCCGTTGATAACCTTAAAAACTACTTATTTTAAATCAATGTCTTCCATGGCTTAAAAACTAAAATAAAAAACTTAATCCTAAAATACTTATATAGGCAGGCACAGCAGTTAATAACTTAAAAACTATTTTGTACATTTGGATTTTAACAAATTTGAGGTAAAAAAAACATTCGAACTCAATTGCGAGAACAAAAAATAATACTTTTGTGTTTTTGATTTTTTGCTTTTTTCGTGTGTGAGGCTGGTTGTTGTTGTTGTTTGAACGACCAATCAATGGTGTCTTGATCTTCTTCTTCTCCTTGGTTTTAGACTAGATTTTCAAAATCTTAGACATTTTGTTGTTGTTGTTGCGAAAAGTTTACTCATCTTGCCACAGTGAAATGAAATCCAAAACTTCTTCATCTTCGGCCGAGGAGGAACTGTTGCTATTCTGATTGTGATATTCCTCAAAGGATGAGACAGGTTCGAACTTAATTGGAGTTGTTGCTGGTGTAATATTATTGGCATATTCGAAACCGGATGATTGATAGTGTTGTGGTGATGATTCCTGTTGTGGATACATTTCGGAGGAGTAGGTTGAGGACGAGGTTGAATTGGCTGGCGAAATGAGATTATGTTGTTGGAAACTGCCAGCATAACTTAGCGATGGATGATGTGGTGGTTGGCTATAGAATTGTGTTTGTTGTTGGTAGTACATGTTGTGGTATGACATATTGTTGGATTGTTGTTGCACTGCAGCTGGTGGTGGTGGTGGAGAACCACTGTTGGAGGAGCTGCTGTAGGATGGCGAAGCACCCGAGAAGGGAGTACTGCCATACGATGATACACTGGAGCTATCACTGCCACTGTCAACATCTTCAATAAGTTTCTTTAGACGACGAATATATTCGGCAGCCATGCGTAGGGTATCAACTTTGCTAAGTTTCTTATCGGCGCCTGGACCAATGCCGCGACGACCATTGCTAATCTCAGCAATGATGGCAGTGGGAATGTGTTGGCGCAAATGGCTGAAGCCATCATTGACTTGCTTGACGCGATTACGCTCACGGGCATTGCGACGAATAACCGAGGGATTGTTAGAATCCAAGGTGGTGCCCTCCGACTTCGATGAGGGTTTGTTGTAGGGGGCAGGTGCAATAGATCTTTGGTTTACATTACGTGTCCTCAGAACTTCACGTGGTGGTGTGTGCAGGACTTGTTTTTGATATTGGAATTTTTGAGCTGTAGCTGGCTGTTGCTGGTGGTACATCATGTTTTCCGAACCCAAAGCCATTTTCGATTTGTGTGTGTAAATTTGGTTATTTAAAAATGTCCAGAATATTTCGTAAAAAGTTGGAAGAGTTTGAAATTTTATTTTGTGAAATTTCAATTCTTGTTGTGGTTGTTTTCTCTTTGGATGCTTAAGACTGAATGATGCCCTTCTCTGCTCTGTGAGGCTATTTATTCGATTTCCTCTACCATCCATCGTCCATCAACATCAAGGAATTCATTCACAACACTCACCTTCTCATTAACTCATTCAGAAAACCCAAAATGAAATTCCCAGCTACCTGACTCTTGATCACACTGATCGTCGACAGGTAAACCAAAATCTTTACTCTCACGCACACCATACATGCTCTCTAAGGCACAAGAAAAAAGGATATTGCTCTCACAGCAAGGGAGCAAGCATCCCTTGATCATTCTCACAGCCGGACCACTTTACCATTTTCGCTCATTGATGCTTGGCCAAGAGGGTTACAGGTATAAAATATATTCAACATTGAGATTTCGAACTGGGTTTACTCATTTTACTCAATGACGACTACGGGATTTTTAGTCAACTGAGATTTGGTGTGTATGTTGAATTCACACGGCTTCTTCTCTTGGTCGGCAATGAGTTTGGTTGTAATTTTTCAACAAAAACGAAGGGGAATTAGCCAGGGAACAGTTTATTGTGCAGAATGCTGCTTGTGGTAGAGTGGTGAGTTTCTGATTGGTGGATTCCCCTCATTTTGTGCAGAGCTTGTTTTTCTGTTCTCAGGTTAGGATCAGAGTAAATGATTTGATCTTTTTGAACAGTCGCGTGCCGGCTTTAGAGCCGGTTTTGGTTTTATTTTATTTCCGACGCTGCTAAGAGAGGTCATGTTTTGGGAATTGATGAGTAAAATTGTCTGGACGTTAAAATTACTCTTCCTTAAGAGTTCAGTTGCAAGTGGAATTGTGGCTGTTGTATGTCTTGTTCTTTTTACTGATCTGGTCAACATCAATGTGGCAGAAACAATGATGGTCATAATTGAAAACTGGTTGTTACAAATTTCAAGTCATTGTCGCAAGAACGAAAATTTAGAGGATATATTTTTTTTGTAAAAATTCCACACGTTAATAAGGCTTTAAAAAATCGACGTCTCGGTAGTTCTTTAAAAGTCCACGCTTCTTGATAGACCTTTAAAAAATCGACGCCTCGATAGTTCTTCAAAAATCCACGCTTGTTAATAGTCCTTTAAAAATCCACGCTTGTTGATACACGTTAATAAGGCTTTAAAAAATCGACGTCTCGGTAGTTCTTTAAAAGTCCACGCTTCTTGATAGACCTTTAAAAAATCGACGCCTCGATAGTTCTTCAAAAATCCACGCTTGTTAATAGACCTTTAAAACAGATCGTCGCTTTGATATTCCTTTAAAACAGATCGTCGCTTTGATAGTCCTTTAAAAATCGTCGCTTTGATAGTCCTTTAAAACAGATCGTCGCTTTGATAGTCCTTTAAAAATCGTCGCTTTGATAGTCCTTTAAAAAATCCACGCTAGTTGATAGTCCTATAAAAATCCACGCTTGTTGATTGTCCTTTAAAAAATCGTCACCTTTGTAGTGCTTTAAAAAATCCACGCTTCTTGATAATCCTTTAAAAATCGTCTTCTTAAGAATCCAGGCTTGTTGATAGTCTTTAAAAAAATCCAGGCTTGTTGACAATCCTTTAAAAAAAATCCAGGCTTGTTGATAGTCCTTTATAAATGCACGCTTGTTGATAATCAATTTAAAAATCCAGGCTTGTTGGTAGTCCTTTAAAAAATTCGCGCTTCTTGATAATCCTTTAAAAAATCGTCGTCTTAAGAATCCAGGCTTGTTGATAGTCCTTTAAAAAATCCAGGCTTGTTGACAATCCTTTAAAAAAATCCAGGCTTGTTGATAGTCCTTTAAAAATGCACGCTTGTTGATAATCAATTTAAAAATCCAGGCTTGTTGGTAGTCCTTTAAAAAATCCACGCTTCTTGATAATCCTTTAAAAAATCGTCGTCTTAAGAATCCAGGCTTGTTGATAGTCCTTTAAAAAATCCACGCTTCTTGATAATCCTTTAAAAAATCGTCGTCTTAAGAATCCAGGCTTGTTGATAGTCCTTTAAAAAATCGTCACCTTGATAGTGCTTTAAAATATCCACGCTTCTTGATAATCCTTTAAAAAATCGTCGTCTTAAGAATCCAGGCTTGTTGATATTCCTTTAAAAAATCCAGGCTTGTTGACAATCCTTTAAAAAATCCAGGCTTGTTGATAGTCCTTTAAAAAATCCACGCTTGTTGATAATCCATTTAAAAAACGTCGCCTTGATAATCCTTTAAAAATCCACGCTTCTTGATAGTCTTTAAAAAAACCTTTAAATTATTATTTAAAAAATCCTAGCTTGTATGATAGTCCTTTAAAAATATTATTTAAAAAATCGACGATTCTTGATACTGCTTTAAAAATATTATTTAAGGCCTTGGTAGTCCTTAAAGAATATTCTGAAAAAATTGAAACATATTTTTAAAAATCCATTCCTAGGGCTCTCCTTTGGTTTTAAAATAAAATCATTGGAAAACATCCACGTTTATGGTTCTGCTTTGGTTTGATAAAAAATTCCTAACAAATACATGAACACCACATAGATATCGAACGCATATCAACAGCAAGCGCCTACACTCAATGGCGACCAATAATCACAGCCCACTGAACATAAACGTAGTCATGTACGAAGCGCCTCTATAATTATGGCAGCCTAGAAAATTAATTCCATGAACCAGAAGTGGCGTTACTTATTGGACAGATTTATGAAAACACAAATTAGCATAGGTTCGTATTACAAAATACCAGCTAGAAGTAATCTGTTATCCTCACACCTTTAAAATTCATTTTTAGCCATTCAACCCTTTACCGCCAACAACCTTTGTGGCGTCTGTGGAGGGGTGGGTTCTACTAACATAAATTTATTTACCGAACCTAGTTAGCCAGTTGAGTTTGATTTAATTTGTGGTTTAGTAGCAACTAACTTTGATTATTTATTACCGCTAATAGCCCAATACCGCTCGCATTTGTCTAGAAGAATAATGAGCGTATGTGTGGTCTCTTTAACCAATGCCGATTCATTTAAGCAATTGTAGATTATAATTGTGTTCTAATTGAAATTGTTGGTTAGGTTCGTTGAGTAGAAGATGATAAACTGCCGGTTTGGAACGCGTTGATGTTAAATGCATACTTTTGGCACTTACTAATTTAACGACGCAATGACTAATGGGCCGACAAACATTGAGAAGCGTATTTAGCTTAACAAGGTGTTAAAATAAATTTATCATAGTCTAAATAAGAGGGTGTTTAACAGAGTAATACGTGTGAATTATTTTAATAAAATATTTCTCATTAGACTATCAAAGACAGGAAAGTATTTTTTATGGGCTATCTATCAAAAGTAGAAGCTAAAACCCACGCTTCTATTTTTATAATAGAATATAATATTTTTTGAATCCTTAGCAGGGCTATAATCAATATTTGTTCATACCCCAGTACACTCATAAGCGTGGATTTTTTTTTAATTTTCGTTCACACCACAGTAGAGCTATATATATATATATATGAATATAAATATTAGACCCTATCAGAGCCATAAGCGTGGATTATAAAAAATTCTTAATTTTAGGAGCTAGCATGGCCTGAGGAGTATTTTTTAAATAGTAATAACGAATGTATAAACCTATCGCGGCCGTAAACTTGTATTTTTTAAGAAAATATTTTCGAACAATAGCAGAGCTATAAGTGCTGAATTTTTATAGATTAGATTTTCGTGGATTATAAAAAATATATTTTTTTAATGCTATCAAGCATGTCAGATCCACAACTTCGCCAGACCCATATGGCTGATCAGGGTATATAAGACATATGTTGACCGATTTTAAACGCCATGTTTCTTTGGACCAAATCCATTTCAGATAATTCTAGAAATAAACAATATTTTTTGAAAACCTAGCTGAGAGTTTTCCAACGACATTTGAAAGATGATGAAGTAGACTCTGGTATAAACTAGGATTATTAAAATAGCACAAAATGTCGATTTGACCACAAACCGTATTAGAAAATAAGAAAGATCTGATTGCATTTACCCTAGTTCATATGATGGCTATACATGTACAGAATAACTTGTTATACCCTTCACCACACTGTGGTACAAGGTATTATGTATTTGTGCATATGTTTGTAACAGGCAAAAGGAAACGAGATAGACACATGGCTCATTCTGAGAGTATGCATAGAATCACTTTCTAAGTCGATTTATTCATGTCCGTCCGTCAGTCTGTCCGTCTGTTCAAGTTAAACTGTTGGCCCAAGGGAAAAATCGGTTCACATTTAGATATATATATATATATATATTCGTCCGATTTTAAGTAAATAGTGCACCAAAGTCCCTTTATATCCTTCGATGTTCACGAAATTTGGCATGACATTTTGATTAAAGTCTAGAACGATGTGTGTTAAATTTCGTAGAAATCGGTTCAGATTTAGATATAGCTCCCATATATATTTTCGTCCAAATTTAAGTAAATAGTGCACCAATGTCCCTTTATATCCTTCGATGTTCACGAAATTTGGCATGACATTTTGATTAAAGTCTAGAACGATGTGTGCTAAATTTCGTGAAAATCGGTTAAGATCAGGGATGGTCCGTATGACGAATTTTTAGGTTTTCGACTGTCAAAAAGGTGTAAACGTCGAAAACGTCATATACCTGTATAAAATGTAGTAAATGTAGAAAACGTCATTTATTCGAATATTATTGACATATACCGTTATTTTCATAAATACATATTATTTTTACATACACCTGTCTGTTCCTTACTATAACTAATAAAAAAATTCTAAACTTTTGGGAGAAATTTTTTTTGAAATTGTATATGGATTTCAGTAAAGCATACGTTATTTCCAAATTCATTAATGGAAATAGGTATTTTGTCAAAAACCTAATGGTTTTGGGTGGGTTTCCGACGTTTCTGACGTATGTAATATACGTCGAAAATGTATGTCATTTACGTCACTGTTTCTGACGGACCATCTTTGGTTAAGATTTAGATATAGCTCCCATATATATTTTCGTCCAAATTTATGTAAATAGTGCACCAAAGTCCCTATATATCCCTCGAGTTGCACGAAATGTGGCATAGCGTAATGAATTAAGTGTAGAACGATGTGTGGTAAATTTCGTAGAAATCGGTTCAGATTTAGATATAGCTTCCATATATAGTTTCGTCCGATTTTATGTAAATGGTGCACCAAATATATATATATCCAAGAAATTTGTAGCATACTGAATTTTAGAACGATGTGTGGGTAAATAGATACAGCTCCCACCGATTTTAGGTAAATAGTCCCTTTTTATCCTTCGATGTGCACGAATTTTGGCATATCGTACTGAATTAAGTCAAGAATGCTGTGTGCTAAGTTTCGCGATACATTTTCGTCCGATTGAATGTAAATTGTGCACTAAAGACCCAAAGTTTGGCACATTGGCACACAATTTTGTACAATGTAATGAAATTAGTATAACCGTACTTTTCTTGAAAGTTGTTCCGATTTACATATACGTCCTATATATATTTTCGACCGATTTTAAGTAAATGACGCACTAAGGACCAATAGCTAGGCCGATTGACACAACATACTGCTAGGATATATATTCTACGTATGTATCCTAACAGACCTCTCGCCATAGCGATAGTGATGAAGGGTATCATATAGTCGGCCCAGTCCGACTTTACTACTTTCCTTACTGGTTTAACCTAATAAGCTGTAATTTGGTATTTCGGGTCCCCTCTGAGTAAAACATTTTCTAAAAAGTTTTTAGGGTCGATCCCTCAATAAATAAAAAAAAAACTTATTTCCAGGAATTATTGAATTCGGCTAATGTTTTAAAACAACCCCCGTATGAAAAAATTTTAAGACCCTCAGACTCATTCTGGTGGATGTTTTACGCTAATGAATCTGAAAACCTTCGATTTTGAATATTTATTTAACAGTTTGATATTTTGAAGGTCGACATATATATTCGTATATGTATGTTTCATAAAAATAGATAAGCTTTAGAGTTAATATGAAATAGACATATCGTTCTCTATCCGTAATGTGTAGTCTGGCTACAATAACTACTACTTATCTATCGATTGGTTATTTTCAAGATATAAAAATCCGACTGCTTAATGATAATTATTGACCCAAAACTATTATATTTCTAATTTGAACGCAATACAATTGAAGTTATTTCCTCATATCAAACAGTTCCTCGATTAAATGTTCTTATCATTGAATAACACTAAACACTTATGAATATGACCTAATAACATACTCAAGTTTCAATTTAATTCTTTTCAATACTTACAGAGTAAAAAAAGATTAACTACATAGTAACATTTTTTTATTTATGTATAACAATTTCAATAAATTAGTTCAATAGCGTTTCTAAAATATAATAAATATATCCAAAATTTGCGTCCACCCTAAGCCCAAAGAGAACGTCCCACCAAACCCACAACAACAACAGCGATCAATGCAAATCCACTGATACTGGCACGACCAGCTGGATTACAATAATTCTTGCTGTCACACTGGGAACACGTACGTTTCGAACTTCCACTAGTGTGGACGGGACGCAATGGTAATTGACAAGCATTTATATTTTGATAAATACAGCCTTTATATCTGAAGTCACCAAAATCTGTAAAATACATTTAAATATTTTTTGTTTTAATATTTTGTTCTTGCTATTTTTTTGTCACTACTTACTGCTCTTAATATCCTCCGCGAAACATTCAATATATGGACTGGTTGTATTGAGGTTAACACCGGTATGATGGGCATCTAAATATAATCTGGTATCGTTAGCCAATTTATATGTACATTCTACTTTTTTGGGACTCTTGCAGGAGTCTTTAGAGTCGCAGCTGTAACATTTGATGGCATAGGCTGGAAAGATGCAAAAGAAAGTGGATTATAATTTCAATATCCTTTAAAAAATTCAGGCTTATTGGTCTATATTCTTTTAAAAATCCGCGCTTATTTGTTTGATAGTCCTTGGAAGAATATTCTTTAAAAAATCCACGTTTATTTGTATGATAGTCCTTAAAAAAATATTTTTTAAAAATCCATGCTAATTGGTCTGATAGTCCATGAAAAAAATATTCTTTAAAAAATCCACGCTTATTGGTCTGATAGTCAATTTAAAAAATATTCTTTAAAAAATTCACGCTTTGGTATGATAGTCAATTAAAAAATATTCTTTAAAAAAATCCACGCTTATTGGTCTGATAGTCTTTGGAAAGATATTTTTTAAAAAATCCACGCTTATTGGTCTGATAGTCCCTGAAGAAAATATTCTTTAAAAAATCCACGCTTATTGGTCTGATAGTCCTTGACAAAAATATTCTTTAAAAAATCCACGCTTATTGGTCTGATAGTCCCTGAAGAAAATATTCTTTAAAAAATCCACGCTTATTGGTCTGATAGTCCTTGACAAAAATATTCTTTAAAAATAAAAAATCCACGCTTATTGGTCTGATAGTCCTTGACAAAAATATTCTTTAAAAAATCCACGCTTATTGGTCTGATAGTCCTTGACAAAAATATTCTTTAAAAAATCCACGCCTGGTCTGTCTAAGGCCTTGACAAAAATATTCTTTAAAAAATCCACGCCTGGTCTGTCTAAGGCCTTGACAAAAATATTCTTTAAAAAATCCATGCTTATTGGTCTGATAGTCCTTGACAAAAATATTCTTTAAAAAATCCATGCTTATTGGTCTGATAGTCTTTGGAAAGGTATTTTTTAAAAAAATCCACGCTTATTGGTCTGATAGTCCTTGACAAAAATATTCTTTAAAAATCCACGCTTATTGGTCTGATAGTCCTTGAAAAAATATTCTTTAAAAAATCCACGCTTATTGGTCTGATAGTCCTTGAAAAAATTTTCTTTAAAAAATCCACGCTTATTAGTCTGATAGTCTTTGAAAAAAATATTCTCCACGCTTATTGGTCTTATAGTTTTTGAAAAAAAAATATTATTTAAAAAGTTTCTGCTTATTGGTCTGATAGTCCTGGAAAAATATTATTAAAAAAATCCACGCTTATTGGTCTGATAGTCCTTGAAAAAATATTTTTAAAAATCCACGCCTCTTAGTCTGATAGTCCCTGAAAAAATATTCTATAGTCCTTGCAAAAACTATTCTTAAAAAATTCAAGCTTATTAGACTTTTTTCTCTGGTAATCCCCCATATAATGTTTGAAAATAACCACGATTATTCGCAATATTTCAAAAAAAAAGTAGAATGGTAATAAATCACAATAAAATATCAAAACACACATATTAATACATACAATATGTCACACAGCTGACGGCAATTAATCCGAATACCAATAACACTTTTGATGAATTCATTTTTTTTTTTTTTATTTCAATAATTTCGTTTCGTATGAATTTCTGTGAAAATTCTGAAATGTTCTTTACTCTGCAATTGCACAAAAATAACTGAACTAGCGGTATTTGAATTAAATTTCGTCTAACCATGCAAATATGTTAAACTTGATTGACTTTGATAGCCAATTTGGAAAAAATAATAACTCTGATAACGTTATTGATAATAGACAAAAACACTGTCCATATGCTTTACTGGTGACTTCTGGTGTGCAGTACAATATGGTTAAGTGATAACAGAAGAAACCTCGTCGCAACTAAGTTCTTCAACAATACTGAGTAAATAAACGGCTAATCTTATCATAAGTCGAAAAAGCAACAGCAACAACAAGGCCTAACTATGCTTCGATGTCGATATTTGTTTATTTGAACAAAATTTCAAAATTAGTCATTGTTTTGGTGACCAATTTCGTTTTATGGCTTCTTCATATGTTATGGCATTTTGTTAAATTTATATACAATTTTTCAAAAGTTAATTAAAACATGTCATTTTAAGTTTAAATCAAAATATATATTTTTTGATGGAAATTATTCTCATGTAACATGATTTATTTATTTTATTTGCAGGAGTGTTCACGTCATGGCCCCCATGAGGGAAAAGTAAGTAACTATAGCATATTATTGACTATTGGTGTTATCTACGTAAATTTTAAACGCATTGACTAACGCTTGTCATTCAATAAATAACTAATAATATAGATGACTCGAATGGGATCCCCGTTTCATATCATAGCAATTTCATAACGAGGATTTTTAGAACTATTTATACACACACAATCAGAGCTATTATTGTGTCGTTTTGAGGAATATATTTCCAAGCTATATCAGGCCTATAATTAGATAGATCTGATTCTATAAGTGTGGATTTTTAGGGACTAAAAAAATCCATGGTTTTCAACGCCAAACATAGCATGGATTTTCAGAAATTGTTTAGCGGGACAACGGAGGCATATGTCTATTTGTTCCCTTCACCACACTGTGGTACAGGGTATTATGTCTTTGTGCATATGTTTGTAACAGGCAAAAATAATCGAGATAGACCCATGGTACCTTCTTAGAATATGCGTAGAATCACTTTCTGAGTCGATTTACGCATGTCCGTCCGTCTGTCCATGTTAAATTGTAAACAAAGTACAGGTCGCAGTTTTGATTCGAATTGGATAACATTTGACACAGCTCATTTATTTGGCCCAAGGACGAACTCTATTGATTTAAGGTAAATAGTGCACCAATGTGGTTATATATCTTTTGATTTGCACGAAATTTGACACAGCGTACTGAATTGAGTCTAGAATAATGAGTGGTGAGTTTCGGGAAAATCGGTTCAGATTTCAATATAGCTCCCATATATAGTTTCGTCCGATTTCATGTGAATGGTGCACCAAAGTCCTTATATATCTTTCGATTTGCACGAAATTTGGCATGACGTAATGACTTAAGCCTAGAGTGATGTTTGCCAAGTTTCGTCAAAATCGGTCCAGATTTAGATGTAGCTCCCATATATAGTTTCGTCCGATTTTATGTAAATTGTGCACCAAAGGCCCTATATATCTAAATTTGGCATTGCATACTGAATTGAACCTAGAGTGACGTCTGCCAAGTTTCATGAAAATCGGTCCAGATTTAGATATAGCTCCCATATATACTTTCATCCGATTTTATGTCCAATTTTACTACTTTCCTTACTGGTTTTATTTTAAAGAATATTATTTCAACGAATATCAGGCCTTTATGTATGGATTTGTTGTATACCCTCCACCAGATGGTGTTTTTGACGCTGAAAAACACCTATAAAACATTTTCAATGTAGAGCCATGATTTGACGTAGACCCTATAGAAGACCGGCCCAATTTTGGTATTTTGAGGACTTGTCGCATTTTCCAACCGAATATAGCGTATATCTGCCCAAAAAATGTTCAATAGTTCCAAATGTTGACACAGTTCCCATATAAAGGATCGTCAAATATTGGGTATTTTGACAGTTTTAGCCACATTTTCGTATTTCGTGTATTTGAAAGCCGAAATATTTCTATTTAGAAACATATGAATATAAGTCTATGATTTGATATAGCCCCTGGTAAATAAACTAAATTTTCCCAGAAAACAGGGGTCGTGCTTAATTTTTTATATGATTTCTGTTCACGAGAGGCAAAGGTGAACAGAAATGGCACTCTGTACACCAAGCAACACATGTTACTCGCCTACGCCGATGACATCGTCATAATGGGTCGAACATTGTGAGTGGTATCAGCCATCTTTGAACAAAAGTAGAAGGAGTGTGCTAAAGTGGATCTGGTAGTAAATGACCAGAATACCAAAAGCTGATTGTATCAACACGCAAGACATCCAATAGCCTTGGACCAACTGTGGAACTTGAAAACTACAACTTCAAGGCAGTCAAAGATTTTGTATACCTTGGTACCGCCATAAATAAAACAAATGACATCAGTTTTGAAATTCGGAGAAGGATAGTGATGGCCAACCGATGCGTCAGGTGGACCACGAGCTATACCATCTATAAACGGACATCGACATAGTCAGTCGTATAGAGCTGCAACGACTACGGTGGCTAGGCCATGTTGTACGAATGAATGAGAATGTCCCAGCTCAAAAGACCTATAAAAGCGATACTACTGAAGCGATACACGCAGAAGAGGAAGGCCACGAATTCGATGGAAAGATTAAGTTCAAGGTATTTCAAATTGGAAAAACGCACAAGATCAACGCGTTTATTGAGAAAATCGTGGTTTTTCATCCTTATGGGGATGAAAGTCCATATAATCTCAAAAATAGCCTTCTATGACCACAAACAACGATAAAAAGTTTTTTTATGGACTGTAAAGATACCAGGAAAAAAGCATGATGTTATAACTCCAAAACTGGACATATGACGAATTCGTCCTTTTGTGTTATTAGTATACTCGCCAAGGGCTTTCGAACCCATGTTTGGCTCTTAATCCATCCTAATGCTATCCATCCATTAGTTTTCCCACAGATGCTACATTGTTTTCTAATGTTTGGACACACCTGTAAATACAAAATCCTATCAAATATATGCAATATGCTTCGTACACATTAATCAGTCCCCAATAACTAATTCCACACATATCAGAACAATTATTATAGCCTCCGGGTTAGAAGCGTTCCAATTTACATGTTAAACAACCAAACAATTAAACTCTTGTCTTTCTGAGCAGAACAGAACATCAACCCTTTTTACACGATCGCAAAGTAAATTAAATTTAGTATTTCGTTTGCATATCTCCGATATTTGGTTTTTGCCGCTGATAACTTTTTTTTCGCAGGACGAAAGCGTTAAAAACAAATAACAACAAACAAGAACAAACTTTATGGTGCAGCAACACAACAACAATATGGGGAACATAGACTAAGAACTGCCTTGGTCGACACTTGCTTCGCCAAAATTTTGGGTCACAGTCGTCGTCTTCTTCAAGGAGGGTAACCAACAACATTGACACGATGGTGAGATGATAATGGA